ATGTTGCAGACCCCCAGGCATCCAAAAGAACCAAACAAAATTTTTCTGATGCCTTGAATTTTGTAGTACTGAGAGGTCCACCTGTACATATTATACGTAAACAATCAGAATTCACTATAACTTGAACTTCCAAAAGAAAAAAAAACACAATCTCTGTACAATTTTTGTCTGGTCCATGTACAAAATCCTGTGAGGAAAACATAGCATGGACCTCTCCAACTCAAAAGCTAGATTATAATTGGGCATATTTTCTTTTACAAACGGACTGGAAACAAAACAAAAAAAGGTTGCAGACCCCCAGGCATCCAAAAGAACAGAGCCATAACATCGTCATCCCTCGGGGCAGAGGGGGGGATGAAAAACGCCCCAGACTCCGACTTCTTGACCTTTTGTGTGTTGTGCGGCGTGCGGATTAGGAATATCTCTACGGGCTCCGATCTCCCGAGATATACTCTCACATACGTACGCCATATCCTCAAACTTTCTCACGGCCTCGCGAAAAAAAAAAAAGATTATTTCAAAATATATACAATATATTCATTGTATAGTTGATTCCGTAATTCGATCAAACAGGGTGGTCCTGCAGGGTTGCCTGGCAAAGGCATCCAGCACCCATTTATTATCGAAAGCAGTCGCCTGTGCAAGGGATGCCTTCATTTTCACTCGCGAGTATACATGGCCGCAGAAAATTAGCTCGGCTCGAGACAAGTGGGAGGAGCATTACTCTTCATATCCCTGCTCGTGACGAAGAAATTAAATTTTTAAAAATATACACATGTATAGTATACGGTACGTATTAAAAATAGAATTTGCCTCGAAAGACAATTGGGTCGAATGATAAAGTGTACTCAAAAAGGTCTCGAGCTTTCTACGTCATAAAGAAAAATCTCGGCTCATTTTCGCATGCGTCTAGAATGATATCGAGGATTTTAAATTTGTGCGAAATTTCTGCAGACTTCAGCGACTAATGCTGAAAAAAACATTCAGAGTTTGCGGAATTAATTGCACAAAATAGTACTGTAACACTTCCTTTTTGCAGTAAATTCTCGTCAAAAACGAACATTTCCAGACCGGCAAAAAAGCTCGACGAGAAATTCGGTATAATCAGATTATCGCTATTGTGCAGGTGCCTGAAAACGACTTTATTGACGAATTATTCATTATAACGAGATCCTACTGCAGTATTTTTACAATACTGTATCTCGAACACTAAATTGTCAACTACCGGAAACTTTTTTATCGTCGATTCACATAAAAATGCCACCCTGGGAAGCTTCCAAGGCCACACATAACCAAATATCCTGCTTCATCTAGTTTCACCGAGGACAAAAATCCAATTTAGCAATTTTTGAACAGATATAAAGGATTAATATTGTGCATAAGACGCAGAGTCCACTGGCTATAAAACCCACCTGGGTCAAGAATCCCATTTGTCAAAAACCCTTCTTCTTCTATCCAAATGACCCAACAAAAGCAATTTTTATTTTTCCACCCAACACACAAATAAACTCTTTAAAGGAAGAAATATTTTTAAATATATGTTCCCGTTCCTGGAAAATGAAAGTTCATTCGAACAACGCTATCGCACGAAAAAAAACAATGAAAAAATCCAAAGCCACGAACTGTATAAATTTTTTTAAGAAGTCTTGAAAGAGATTTACAGTATTGTCAAACGCCCATGGTTTCAAACCTGAGGAAAATTCTCCAAGAAAATAAAGCGCTCAAACGTTTCTCTTTTGTCTGCAACAAGAAACCAACAACTGTGTCCGATAAAAATACGTTTTTATTCCAAAAAGCATTATTTCAAATAAAATCAGCCGTAAACAACCTTTTCTTTTCATTGATTATGATAGAATTTTTAAACTGGAGCGATTCAATATGTAATGTTCCTAGAAAATGTTCGACGGTTTCTAAAAACTTACAAAATATATTCCAATCATAAATGTCAAGACTTTCCATTTTTGAATAATCGTTGCATTGGAAAAATAACTCTGATCACAAATTATTTGCTTTTTTCGCTTTCAGTAAAAACTTGAAGAAAAAAATGTAACGACCGGAAAGAAGAAAAAAAAAAACTCAGCATCGAGGAAAAATGTCAAGAATCCCCCGAGCAACAGTTTTTTCAACCCCGAGATTATGGGAATACGAGTGCATAAAAACTCGTGCAATTCGTCCTTAAAAAATATGAAAAAAATAATAAATCAAGGCAGGATTGTATTGAAAAAAAGGGGGATAAAATTGGAGGAATCCGGTCGACATTCTCGTCCTTAACAACCGGGTTGTCCACAGACTCGCTCATCTCTCCAGCGCGGAATTTTAGTACGTCGTTAGGCAAACTGGATGAAAGCTGGTATACTACAACTTTTCAGGACATTCACCAGCTCAATTTAATTTCCCGCTCAAGTCCCACAAAGTGGACATTTTCGTTTGAAATTACAATATCGAATTTATTCCAAGCATGCGAGAATTCTGCATATATGAGAAAATCTCACGAATCCTCTGAATTTATTGCCAAAAAGTAATTCAACGCTAGAAAATATAGCTGAAAATGTAGGCATCACATACAGTAAATTTTAGTGGACTTCATTTCCAAGTCCGTGTTCACAATTTTATAATTCTGCGTTCGATTAAAATTTCCAGCACAGTAATAAATTTCCAAAACCCTAATTCAATTATAGTAAAATTAGTTCTGATAAATCTCGCCAAAGTGGTTCTTCCACTATTTAATGAAAAAGAGCTTCCATCAATTGACGAAAACTTTGAGAAAAAAATTGAAACATACCTAATACGACCATGAACTTCCATTCCATAACTGGAATCAAAGCACGAGTTCTAACTTGAAAATTGCAATCGCATAATTCCATCAACAGGCTTCGTAAACCTGTGTATTTAAATAATCTTGTGTAAAAATTGTGGGCTTGACATTTACTTGAGTGAAATAGACGTGATTTGACAATCGTAAGTGCTTGACTTCCGTGAGTTTTACAAACCTTTGCGGCTTAAAAAAAAAACTCCGCATTTCTTGTGTTCGTCATCAATTTGGCGAAGAAATTTTGAAGACCAGGCTTTCTATCATTCCTGCTATTTTCGAATAGAAATTTTTGTTGGGTTGAAAAATGCTCCGAGAGGGTAATTATTATTTCATTTCAAGTAATCCTGACATTTTGCTGCTTTCAAAATTTTCGAGTTCACAGATTTTTGTCGCTGAAAAAGGATGTAATTTATTTTGCCTGTAATAAAATCTGAAGAAATATTCAGGATTCTGTGCTGGCTGAAATTAACGCATTATAAACTGGAAAATGTTGTCATGCACTGTACTAAAAAAATTGCGTGCGTAATTATTATTTCATTCTAAACTTCTGTGATGGGGAATTTCATTATTCACTAGAATCTCGTTACAACGAATTATTTTTTCGCTCTCCGACCAAAGCATGGATTTAATTTTTACTTCGCTTAAAACTTTTTTTTTTTTTACAACGGATCTTTCTTCAAGGTCCCAAACGCTTCGTTTTAACGAGATTCTTCTGTACATCATCCACTGCATTCATCCATCTAAATTTTTTAGAAAATCCAAGGAGAATAATTCCACGCGTAGTCCTGGAAAATGTAAAATAGTGCCAGCAAGGGGAAGTTCAAGTGCCACCACGTCATCGCCTAGAGACAATGCCCAGTAATACCAGAGGGTCGTCATACAGCATCCCGTCAGCCAAGAACTTGGTCGTTGGCATGAAAGGGTTACGACGCTGTTCGCATATTTTTCTTCCAGGATCCGAAAAATGTTTTCACGACCCTCCCATGATATTCTTTTTTTCCCTCCGTTTTTTATAATTTTCGAAACAAGTTTGAGGGCACCGAATATGACTGGGATCCGAAAAAAAAAAGCCGTTAAAAAATCCCGAGGCTCGAGTACAAGGACTTTCCGCCTTGTTCCCCGCAAGAAAAAAAAGGATTGATAAATTTCTTATTTCTCAACTTTTATGTTATAATATGAGATTCGAAAAATGCGTAAACATGTTTATTTTTGTTCGTGTTCATCGCAGGGACGAAGACGACAAGGAATGCGTCAAACAACCATCAAAAGAAACACAGTCGAGGCAAGCTGCACACAAGTACAGTACTTATTTTCAACTTGTTGATCTCCATTTATGGCCCGGAATAAATGTAAATTCATGGACCCAACCTATAATAATCTTCGTTACTCGCAAAGCAGATGTTTCTTTCTTTCTTCGCCGACAGTGATGAATGATATTAATGAGACGTTGATACCCCAACAATTAGAACATGATTCTCATCGAAAACTTGACAGACATGATCCAGGATTGAATGAAAAAATTTATAAACGCAATTAATCTGGAAAATGGGCTTGAAATTCCAAAGCTGAAAATACGAGAAAAATCTTTGGATGTTGATACCGTACGCGTGGAATTCATTGAATTTTGGAGTTACTCGATGAAGGAAAAATTCTCAAGGAGAATTGGAATTCACTAAATTTTGGAGGTACTTGGTGAAGAAAATTCTCATACTGTCTTGAAGATGAAACAATTTATTTGTTCTTCAAGTCCCAACATTTGGCTTTGCATCCTCAAATGTCACGCAGTTGTAACATAAAACATTTACAAAGAGTCTTCAACAAAAATGGACTTTTCTCAGATAAAATGGGAAAAACCAAAAATGCACCTGTTGCTTTGAAATTTACTTTTCGAGGTGGTAAAAAGGTGCTTGTTCGCATGATCCATGATGATCAGAGGTACTGTCTGAATAAATAATTTTACCAAGAAAAAACTTGAGCTGACCCCAAATGAACCTATAAAAACGGATTTCTAATTCAAAGTGTCTTTTTCGGACCCCCACGAAGGACTGCAAAATTCAAGCGACATCTAGGTGACGGCGCAGAGAATCACGAAGTCGCGGACACATCCATAAACGGGAAATTAAACATGTGTTAACTTATTCATTGCATGTCACCACAGAAAAAAAAAATCAAGCATTCGATGCTGTCTTTATCTCTTCTGTCCCACGATCGAGACTCGAATAAAACCGGAAGCAGGAAGAAAGGAATAATCCGGGCTGAAGAAAAAACGACCAGACTCACCTTCACGGACAGCGGAAATCCGCACCCTGTACTGGCCACTGGTCCTCAGGAACTCGGTGAAGTACCCAGAGTAAATCCCGTCATTCCCGGTCACATCCGGATCTGCGAAGAAAAGCCGAGAAAATCCCCGCAAAAACCCCGGTCATCATCAGCACAACAACTCGAGTTAACACACATTAATCAGTCAAGTACTCTTTTTTTTCGTACCTTTCCCGACGAAGAACAAAGTTTCTTACTGTACTAAACTTTCATCAACTGCGAATAATGTAAGATACAATCGGAATCTAAAGGCTCTCTTTTATTCTAAAAGTTCACTAGCAAGGAATTTTCAAGAATTTGACGTGCAAATTTGTATCAAGAGCAATAGTAAACAAGGAAGTTAGTAAATGTACATTTTGTGCTGACATGCACTAGGAAATATGAAATAAATCATCAACTAACCAAATTTGAATTTATGAAAGCAAATTTAAAAATTGGTACAGCATTGCGCAGACGATATTCAAAAATTGGCACAATTTCGGAAGAAAACTTTTCCGCAAAAGATTCGAACAACGCTTCTCCAAGACCTTTTTCATAATTTTAAAAATAATCCTCTTTTATAAAACAGTGCTACGATTTGAAATTTGCAATTATTTGTCAACAAACATCGGACTTCGATGACCCACTGAATAAATTGTCCATTTAATTTACAAAGAAACTGAAATTAAATATTTTTTTTAAATATCACGACTAGCATTTCAGTTTCCTGACGGAACTTTTCGCAAGAAAAAAACTTGCTGCAATTGACTTATTTTTTAAATCTGATTTATACGCTTTGTTTATTTTCAAAGGGAGAATGTAATGATTTAATTGCCACAATGAGCATTTCAACACGATGATGCACACACATTTATCAAGCCGAAAATTTCAGCACACAAAGCTAAGAAGCCAATGAGACGTGCCATAATATTATCCGCGACAAAAATAACCAAAAGGAAAGGAAGAATGCCTCATTATTCGCAGAAATACAGTAGATTGCGCGCAAAAACCCCCCCGGCATTCTATGATGACGACATTACCGTCCGGAATTTCAAGCAGACGAAAGGGGAGGGTGTGAATTTTCCGCGGAAATTTCGAGTTTGATGTCAAAAATAAGAGTCTCAACCCAATGGCAAGAGTCTCAATTAAAATCGTGACTGGCATTTGCAGGAAGTCCAGACATTCCACGCGATCGTGTTGATGCCAACGCTGCGTCGCAAGTACCGCATTATAAACGCGGCGTTCGGCTTAATTATGCTGCATGAATACATTCATTTACCCCCTCTGCTGGGCATGGAAAGAGGGGATCCAAGTTTTCCCGCTTGGATTGAGGAGATAATTGACTGAAGTTTCAGTGAATTCCACCGAACTTAAATGCCCTCATTTCTCACGATACCGGGGACTCGTCTGTCGAGCTATCGGTGATTAATCTTTTCGCGGAAATAAACCGCCGAAGTTCATCTGGGAATATGGTAATCAGACTTCCTTGAATTAATATGCATTTATGATAGATTGGGGGGGGGGGAAGGGCGTATTATAGGAAGAACTTGAGATTAATCAGCAAAACGTAAACGAGGGATTGATAAAAAAAAAAATCTTTGACCCTAACATTTTCTCTACCCCCTTTTTGCTAAAAAAAAAATCACCACTTCTTGATCATGAAAAATTTAAAACTTATGGTTCAGCAGAGTTGCGCAAAAATTTCAACTCAGCACTAAAAAAAATACAATGATTTCATATTGAGATAAATCAACAGGACTTGAAAAGAGAAACGCGCTCCTTCAAACGGGTAAAAATAATTCACATTTTAAACTGCATGCTTAAAAAAATTGAAAATGAATCTAATCGAAAATTTTTCGGATCACAACATACATTTTTCATCAGCTGATCTTTAACTCAATTTGAAAATTTGAACCAAACAACTTTTCCAAGTCGAAAAAGTGAAAAATTTAAACCGGGTTCCAAAAAAGGTGCCTTCAACTTAATTCTTGAAGCGAGTTGAACGCATTGGAAATTTATTCACGAATAATTTTTAAGGACAGACAAAAAAAAGCTTCGTAAGGAAAAATTCATTCAGCGATATTCCCACAAAAAATTTAAGAAACTTCTGTCAGAATTTTTTTCCAAAAATTTTCGCTCCGATTCTTCAAATAATTTTGCAAGGCGGAAAGTTGAATACCATACATGAAAAGCTCGTCAGAAATAAATTCTAGGTACCGAGGAAAAAAAACAGCATTGAAAATAAAGTAAAAATTCCCTCGAGAAATTGCGAAATGTTTTTGGCCAGAAATTACATTATCGTGCATCGGAACCCAAGTTTTCTTCGACCGATCCAGAAAATTGTATCGGAAAATAAATGTTCTGGGCTGAATTGAAAAAAAAAAAAATTATCCCCGCAGAAAATAATGCTGAATTTTCTCCAGCAGTTATTGAAGTGGCTAATTTCATTTCGTTCGTTCGGAGGGCAGCCTGTAATTTTCTGCAGCTTTATCACACAAGTAAATTTTGCACCCACACAGATGATATTATTGGCACAGAAAACGAGATATCTCACCTCCTCTGCCGTCGTCACTCAGCAACACCGTCACATTGTCCCTGGTGTCATCCGAAATCCTCTCGACAGTAGCCGTCACTTGCACACCGACCACCGGCTCTCTTCCTTTCCTCGCCGACACGAAGAACATCAGCGGGGCATTCTGAAAATTGCAATCCAATTAAAAGAAAAAATACAATTAGACACAACATAAAAAATAAAATAAAAAAAAATCCCCGCGCTTCGTGCTTCAAAATTCAGAGAGTCGGCATTCGAAAGCAAAAGAAAGAGGGGATGCAAATCACGACGTCCCAAGTAATTAGCCGCCTGACGCGTGCCGGCCATGCAAATCACTCGCGCGCAATTAGCACTCCAGTCCGGGTGGAAAATGCGCTTGCATTTTCCCCTGCCATCTGCACGCCAACTTGTGTCACGAAGGGGGGGGGGGGGGGGGGGGGGGGGGGGGGGGGAGGACAGGGCGTATTATAGGAAGAACTTGAGATTAATCAGCAAAACTAAAACGAGGGATTGATAGAAAAAAAAGCTTTGACCCTAACATTTCCTCTACCCCCCTTTTTGGTAAAAAAAAAATTAACAGTTCTTATTCATAAAAATTTTAAAACTTATGGTTCGGCAGAGTTGCGCAAACATTTCAACTCAGCACTCAAAATAATACAATAATTTCATATTGAGATAAATCAACAGGACTTGAGAAGAGAAATGCACGCCTTCAAACGGGTAAAAATTATTCACATTTTAAACTACAGGTTTTTTTTAAAATTTAAAATCGATCTAATCAAAAATTTCTCGGATCACAATATACATTTTTCATCAGCTGATCTTTAACTCAATTTGAAAATTTGAACCAAACAACTTTTCCAAGTCGAAAAAGGGAAAAATTTAAACCGGGTCCCAAAAAAGGTGCCTTCAACTTATTTCTTGAAACGAGTTGAACCCATTAGAAATTTATTCACGAATAATTTCTAAGGACAGAAAAAAAGCTTCGTAACGAAAAATTCATTTTAGTGAGATTCCCACTAGAAATTGAAGAAACTTTTGACAGAATTTTTTTTTCTACAAAAATTTTGGCTCTGACTCTTCAAATCATTTTTCAAGGCAGAAAGTTTAATACCGTACACGAAAAAGCTCGTCAGAAATAAATTCTAGGTACCGAGGAAAAAAAACAGCATTGGAAATGAAATAAAAATCGTTATTCTCGAGATTCCCTCGAGAAATTGCGAAATGTTTTTGGTCAGAAATTACATTATCGTGCATCGGAACCCAAGTTTTCTTCGACCGATCCAGAAAATTGTATCGCAAAATAAATGTTCTGGGCAGAATGTAAAAAAAAAAAAATTATCCCCGCAGAAAATAATGCTGAATTTTCTCCAGCAATTCTTGAAGTGGCTAATTTCATTCCGTTCGTTCGGGGGCAGCCTGTAATTTTCTGCAGCTTTATCACACAAGTAAATTTTGCACCCACACAGATGATATTATTGGCACAGGAAACGAGATATCTCACCTCCTCTGCCGTCGTCACTCAGCAACACCGTCACATTGTCCCTAGTGTCATCTGAAATCCTCTCGACAGTAGCCGTCACTTGCACACCGACCACCGGCTCTCTTCCTTTCCTCGCCGACACGAAGAACATCAGCGGGGCATTCTGCAAATTGCAATCCAATTAAAAGAAAAATACAATCAGACACAACATTAAAAAATAAAGAAAATAAAATAAATCCCCGCGCTTCGTGCTTCAAAATTCAGAGAGTCGGCATTCGAAAGCAAAAGAAAGAGGGGATGCAAATCACGACAAGGGTTCATTAATCGGCGGACTGCGCACGGCCGGTACGTTTAGTGAGCGCGCGTTAATCGTGAGGTCAGGCCCACCTTTTACGCGAACGTAAAAGGGGACGGTAGACGTGCGGTTGAACACAGTGCTATTCATTTTCCGCCCTCGGACGACCCATTCAACTCGTCTCAAAATTTCCAGGTTTCTCAAAAAAAAAAAAAAGGCGCAATCCCTTTTCTCTTTTTTCCTGGGTCGAGTTGCACCCCAGAAATATAAAAAAGGGTCAAAATTGAACCCTCATCGTCGATTGAGCGCAACCCAACTCAGCTGTCGGGTGTCTTAGAAATTAAACATACTTAAAAATATAAAATAAACACTCAGAAAATACTATTGATTAACCCTTTTCACAAGTCTTTACCTGCCGAAATTTCAAAAGGATAAATTCAGAGAAAATGCATTTTATCACTTGACATATAAGGTATGAACAGAAAAACAATATTTTCAAATCAAATGAATCACACTCAAAAATCGCGGATGAGTCATCGTAACTTTCAAAAAGAAAAAGGTCACAATTGAACCCTCGTCGATTGAGCGTAACCCAACTCAGCTGTCGGGTGTCTTAGAAAATAAACATACTTAAAAATAAAAAAAATAAATACTCAGAAAATATTATTGATTAACCCTTTTCACAAGTCTTTGCCTGCCAAAATTTGAAAAGGATAAATTCATCGAAAATGCTTTTTATCACTTGACATATACGGTATAAGCAATTAAAAAAAAAAATAAAACTCAAAAATTGCAGATGAGTAATCGTAACTTTCAGAAAGAAATTGAGAAAAGTTTTCAACGGCCTGATTGAAATGCGCTCAAATTTTCAAACGCTCAGTCGGGTTTGGCGCTCATTTGAAATTCGCACTATCCATTTTTCCGCTAATAAGAAGTACTTCATCTTTTCTGAATGGATCCACAAAAAATTGGTTTCAAATCAAGACTGATTCAATAAAATTCAAAAGGTCTCACAAAAAAGATAAAAGAAAAAAGGCGAAGTAGAATATCGATTTTTGGAGAACAGTATTGAATTTCTAGGTCATCAGGACCATCAGAATCAAATTTATACTTGATCATATCCATTTCTACAACAGCGAAAAATGCGAAAATTATTATGCGAGAAAATAATTGAAGAAAGTTTGAAATTCGAGGACTCATTTCTCATATGATTTCCGGTGCAATAATTTTCGGATTCGACTGAAAATTTGCAGAGAAACGCTCATAAAAAAATAAAATTCTTCACTAATTCGCCCAGATCAGTCGATTGTGACGGACATTGGTCTCCGTTTTTATCTCCCAATAAAAAGGGCATGAATCCGCAAAAGGAATCGAATGGATAAATGATACCAGAATCAAATGACCATGGCTGAAATCTTTAAACACTTCCTGGTGATAAACGAAAACAACGCCAAGCTTCTGAAAAATTAATTCTAACGCGTTACTTCAAGTGAACTCAGAAGTTTCATCAATAAACTCTCATAGCTCATAAAAATGTCACGCCTTTTCCGTCTCGAAAATTCTGAACACAACCTCAAACATGTTCTCGCCTTTTCTTATCTTTCCTTTATGAAAGAATAAAACATATTTGGGAGTTCCTTGACCTTTTTTTCCCGCCCTATTTCCAGATGAAATCAAGAAAAAAGGGGGCAATAAAAATTGTCCCTTTTCCTTGATTTATCCGAACAGATTCGTGTACAGATTTGTTTGAATTCCATCGTAAAAATAGAAACTGGAGACTGCTCTCAAAATTGATCAAGGTCTAATAATTTCCCCCCTCGGTATCATTTTCGGGAGAAAACGTTTTTTTTTGTGGAAATTCTACTCAAGGATGCCCAACTTCTTCCATTCAGTTGAAAATTCTTTCAATTTTCCACCAAAAATCATTCTCAGAACACATACACTGTCCTGTAGCAAATGAAAAATTCCCCACAATCAATGATACATTATTGTATTAAATTTCGCGCGCAAAAAAATACACGAACATCCGCTGTCAGTATCTTCCAAATCGCAAAAGAAAATTTCCCAGGACACTGATAGAATTTGAGCGACAGATTTTGAGAGCATAACATTCCGTGGGGAAGACTGTTCAATTTTCAAACGGAAATTCAAACCGAAATACAATTATTTTTGAAGTCGAAATGTTTATTAAAAGAAAGCTGAAATAAATTTCCATTGCCGCATTAATCAGGCTGTAAAGTGGCCCTGAAAAGGTTACCGATTGCTCCTAGAAACCCGCCCAAAAAGGAACATTATCCCATGAATTATTTAGGTCATGCAAATTTCATATTTCATTTTTTTCTTCAAGTATTTCAAGTTCAACAGTGGAGTACACTGACTACACCTACAGCCTCTCAGTGTTTCACGTCTGTTAATATACTCGTACTGTATATAAAAATAAATGCACGAAGAAACTACATTAAAAACTGCTCCGACTTTTCCTTTTTAATTCATACATCCTTGGGCAATTAAATTATCGCGCAAAATGAATACAGTAAATCCCAACACAATCGCCCGAAGGTTACCCTTAGCATTTCCAGCACACTAACTTCCCCCCACAGCACATGGGACTTTTTAAAACACCCTGTGTGCAGCCACGAAGCAAAAAAAAAAAGACTAAAGAATAAAAACAAGAGAAGAAAGAGGGAGAATTAATCGATTAAGCCACGTCCAGGAAGAAGCCATGAATGAATGAATATGCGGGATAAGGAAGAATAAAAAAAAAAGACCTGTCCCGGAAGGAATAAAGATCGATGTGGTTTTGAAAAATGCATCGCCACTGGGCAAAAATGCTGGCTTGACTTGGCTAAAGCACCCTTCCACACCTGCTGATGCCGTAGTGTGTGATGCATGAAGATATCTTATCGCGACACCTGATTCATCCACAGAATTAAGCCTCGAAGCCAAACCCCCCCCCCCCTCAGTAATCATTTTCTCACCGCCTTTCATTTTCCGACGTCTCTTTCTTCTTTTTTTTCTCCTCCTTTCATTAATTGATAATAAAGGATTCGAGCTTAATTAATTTCCTGCAAGGTTGTTCGTATACAGAAAACGACGGGCTTTTTTCTTCTTCTTTGCCGCTTGAATGAATTACGTTTCTTACCCAAGAGTTTCTCTTTTTTAAATTTAAATACAGACTCAAACCGCCTCTTTCGAACTACGGAAAATTTTATTGCAAGGCAGTTGATTTACATTTTTTGAAACCCCCACAAGCCGGAATTTAATCTTGCAAAATCCCACGCTTGGAAAAGTGTAAAAACCCAATACACTGATGTCGATTTAATTTTTTTCCCCTTCGAAATTAAAAACTGAGTAAATCGTGCTGAGAAAATGGCATTGTAGATCAGTCGAAAGTGCGTAAAACATTGAAAAATGGAAAAAATGAAAGCTGTGAGAAGAAAACCTATCCGTTTTCTCGTCGTTTGAAATGAAAAACTTTTGCAAATATTTTACAATAATTCCTTCGCCCATTGGACTTATATCATGAATTTTCGCAGAGTTTCAAAAAAGTCATCGCGTTTATTTCAGCAACGAACATTTTCTTCCGTGAATTCATATATAACGTCTAACAATTGAATCGAGAGTTTCAATGAAAAATGATGATCACAATTCAGAAAAGATGAATCGAAATCTCTCGCTTCTAAATATGTTGTCGGGAAACCAACATTTAAATTCCCATCCTCGTCCTTACGTTTTTTTTTTCAAGGATTTAGAATCTGCAAAAATCTTCCACCAAAAAAGACTTGCTGAATCGGAAAATAATCTGAAGGCATGATTTCCTGCAAATCCCTTCACATAGTTCCGCAGATTAATTCATCAAAAAGCTTTTAATTAAGTCGCAAGGCGTTTTCAGAAACTATTTACAATGTTCCTCAGCAGACTCTCTTCAAAGATTTCAAAAGCAATTCGAGACGAATTCCGAATAGAGGCCAAACTTCATCACAAAATGTCCCCTACTTCCAAGCACCCAAAATCCAGATAAAGACAAAATAAATCGTCAGTCATCGTCTTAGTTCCCACCCCAAAGGATCAAATGGGTTCTTTCCGGTAACGCGAGCAATAAACGTCCATATCCAGCTGAGCGAGAGAAAATCCGAAATTACCCAGATCAATCCAAGCTGCAATTACCAACGGAAAAAGGCAATAAAAAAATATCCCCAAAAAAAAAGTCGACACCGACACCGACGTCGACGGGGCGTCACGTCGAGCCAAGTCGGCGGAAACCACGTCGTCACCGTTCCGTCCCGTCGACTCGTCACGACTCCAGTGGGAAAAATAAAAAAGATCAAGAAACTCTCGCGATATAAAATATATATTTCTATAAATGAAATAAAAATGCCCGCGGGAAATCCGGAAGCGATAAAAGGAAAACATTTTTCCCAGGACTCAAGTACCAAAGCGAACCGACGACGCGAGAATGACGAATAAAACAATGACGACGGAAACGTCCATTTGTAAAAAACAAAAAAGCGAATAAAAATAGTAAAAAAAAATATTTATCTGAGTGAGTCACGTATAAAATAAAACCATTTTTAAGGATAAAAATATTACCTCCGTCCCCTTGAAATCGACCGCCAAGAATATTCGGCATCTAAAGTTAAGCACCACCAAATTTGCGATCGAACATTTCCTTTTTTTTTGAATTTCCATCCGTGTGTTTCCAAAAATTGTTCGAAATACGCGTAAAAACTTTCACGGTGGGGAAAAATGTGTCGACATAAACCTGCTTCTCTGTGCTCGTGCAGAAAGAGAGAGAGATAAGCGATATATTCTGTGCTCCAAGCATTATTTTTATGCCTCCAACTTATTCCGACGGTTTTTCTTCATGCGATTTCAAAGGCAAGATACCGTCTCCAAGTTCACTCCGAATTTTATTTTCAGTTGCCCAAGATAATATAGTATTCTTCGAAGAGGACTTTCACAAATTTTTCTGCAGTCGAAAATTCGCAACAAACAGTTTGATCGAGTAATTATCTGCCTGCTTAAAAATTGGAATGAAGCTTAGTTCAAACGTAGGTAGATGTGACTAGCATTCAAAATCAATTTTTTTTTGGTCTGTCAAGGTTTAATTTTTACAAACAATTTTTCAAATATTTCCCGATCTGCTTTCTCTGGACACCCTGTAAAATATGTGGAGTGACATTCCAACAACCGTCAAGTGATTATCTATCTGCCTTCTTAAAAATTGGAATGAAGCTTAGTTCAAACGTAGGTAGATGTCACTGTCATTCAAAATCAATTTTTTGGGTCTATCAAGGTTTAATTTTTAAAAACAATTTTTCCTATATTCCCGATCTGCTTTCTGGACACCCTGTAAAACATGTGGAGTGACATTCGAACAACCGTCGAAGTACCGAAAAAGTGCTTCTCTGGTCGTTTTCTCAGAATTTGGAAGCCCATTCGAAGAAAAATCTGGCAGTCAAGATTCAAGAGCAGTTCAACATTTTTATTTTTACTGTATTTCGATGTCTGGGTCATTCAGTACGAAATCACAAGGATGAGAAAAAAAAAAATATTTCCGGCCGTTCAACAGGTTTTCTCATTCTTCAAGGGGGAAAATACTCGATTTTTTCCTGGGATTTGCGACGCAGAAAATCTCAGAACCATCGACAATTTTTGCGTTGCATTTTAATTTCTTGAAGTTTCCGGCCGAGAGAAAATTATTTCACGTGAGCCGGGAGACGAAATATTCTCAGAAATTTCGACACAATTATAGAAAAAATACGAAGCAAAATAAAATTATGAATAAACAGGTAATATATTTCTAGTATGTTCACCTGATCGATGAAAGGGCAATTTTCAAAGCGGGATGGAAAATGTTTTTCTTACGCTAGAGTCAACAACGAGTTATTGAAAAACTCTTGCGCATCAGAAAACCAACAAGATAAAATACCTGTGCCTTTCATTTTCGAAAGCAAGGAAAAATAAAATTTTTATTTAAATGTTAAGAGATGAAGCAAATTTCAGTAGTGCTGAAGGCTAGAAAGAAAAAAAGCGTGGCTCAAAATTGCGCTGTAAAAAATTAGCACAAGCCGATAATCGCATTTTCACAAATAAAATTGTCATAAACAATTAAAACACAAGGTAAGGCTTAAAATTGCATTTTTTAAATGTAAAATTAATCCCGGAGTCGAATTTGTGGCCAGAACCTTCAGCTAATTGAAAAAAAAACGATCAAAATGACACGCGTCTACAAAAAATGCCAAGAATGCAATTGACAAAAACTTTGAATTTGAAAAGTACATTATATTACTTGCCAGCAATTGAAACAATTTAATTTAATTTAATTAACAAATTTACATTCGCAAGAATAAAAACTTTTTCGGGATTTCATTTCATAACGAATATACTCCTTAAAAAAGAACACAACCCAACTCAAAATCATACAATAAATTATTCTCTTCATCTCCTCTTTAAAAAATAAAATAAAATTGACTGAAATCATGTTACTTCAGTGCAGCTTATTACATGGTACTCGTGTACGTTTCTGGAATACGCTCCTTTGAGCATTCGCTCTTTCGCCAAGCGCTCATTTGACCACTCGCCCCTTTTTGAAACACACTCATTCCTCCTTCCACAGATTTCTTCATGTCCTCATTCGAGTCTCAAGACAAGGGGGGCTAATAACAATTCGTAAGCCTTGACTGATTCTTACCCCCCTTCAAGGACGAGAAGGGACGAGATGAGACCCCCGGAAAAACCCCCCCGCTGGTGACACACAAGAGACCCAAGCCGTTTCATTGCTGTCCATCTTCTATCCGTATGCCATGTTTTATTTGGAGGCCCCAAATGTCGTGTTTCTTGGCAATGAAATGCTCTGGAGTTGAGCTGCTGGGAATTTATATTTAAATAATGGGGTGAAAGCATGCAAACGAATCTGAAGGCACATGGTACAAAATTGCATACCCAAAGGTCCAGGTCTTTGTTTGCTCGAGTTGCAAGAGAAAAATGCGTGACGAGAGAAATAAGATTTTAAAACGAGCAGATTTAAAAAAAATGGAATTATATAGAAATAGAAATACCGTATTCAATATTGGCATACGAAAAAATACAGTACTTGAATATGAAACTGAAATCTGCACGCGTGAAGACTTAAAAACTGAAAACAATTTATAAAAATTTCACTAGAATAATTTTTTTATGAAAAAGCTTGGTCGACCTTCTTGCGGGATTTCATTTATCGGGCGTTTAAAAATTAATCTTTACAAATGATTCAAAACTTTGGAAACCTCTTTTTCAATCGAATTTCTTTTTCTCAATTTCGACCTAATTAAATACATATCTGCATTAAAATTTAAATTCCCGTGCGTCACGAGACCGACGATACTCACGACACTACTCGCAAGAAACCAGACGTGTTTTCGTACGGCTTGTGTTTGAAAAATTAATCTTTAAAAATGATTCAAAAATTCGGAAACCCCTCTTCTTATAGGACATTTTTCTAAATTTCAAACTGGGTAAACTTCAGAAAATAAATGAATGCAAATCTTTATAAAAAAAATATTCAATTCACTTGCATCACGAGACAAACGAGTCTCAGAATAAACGCAAGAAACCAGATGGGATTTAGTTCGGCGTGTGTTTGAAAATAAATCTTCAAACATAATTTAAAAATTCGGTAACCCATTTTCTCATTTGAAATTTTTCTAAATTTCCACCCGAGTAAAATTACATATAAATATTTATAACATTTAAATTCATTTGCAAACCAGCAGACGTATTTTCATATGGCGTGTGTTTGAAAAACTATAGTCATTTCAAAATGATGAAAAAATTTGGAAACCCCTCATTAATTCGAAGTTATTTTTCTCAGTTTCGACCCGAGTTAAATGTGAGAAAGAATTAAATATACGTCTCTGTAAAAACTGTAAATTCACCTGCATCACGAGACCAACTACGCAAGAAAGCAGATGAGTTTCGTATATCCCCAGAAAAAAAGCTGCTATTTCATCGCAAGATTTTTTTTTCTCTCGCTCCCTTTTCTTCTACTCGTTTCAGGCAGTATTTCCAGGGAATATCCAGAACTGTTTCTAGGAGAAAGAAAGGCAAGGCCTACTTGGAAAACAAGACGGCCAGCAGACGTCGCAGTTCCCGTGCGGGAATTTCCCCCGCTGCTGCCGGCCCGAGTAAATATTTGCAGCTTTGGCGCGCCATTTATTCGGGGAAACCGGCCGAAATTCAAGATGATTTCGGAAACCCGGGAAAAAACGCGGGGAAAGGACGGGACAAACGGGCTCACGGTTACATCAATAAAGCGAGGCCTGTCGGGTATCGCCTTCATTTATGGGACGCATAAAGCAAATCGAAATACAATCATCCTGGGAATTTGAGTACTGTACAGGATGAAATAAAATATTCTCCCTAATTCTTCAAGCATTATTCACAACATCGAATTTTCGAAAGTATTTCACTTATTTCGGAAATGTCATTCATCAAAATTTCGTGCTTGAGGATTTTCATAATTTTCAAACAAACTCAAGGTGTCGCTGAAAAAGAGTTGAAAATCGAACATTTCTGTCTGAGTGCAAGCAAGTGTCGACAAAAGGTGCAGTTCATAAAATATTCTTGTGGTACTTATATTCTGGCGAAATATAGTAATTGATGGTGGCAGGTTCCTTTCTGTATTGTGGCAGAGCAAAAGTGTTTTATTTTTTGCACAAAGACTCATTTAAAAAATGCAACCTGTTCTGATATGGCTAAAATCAGGGAAAATCTTTGAATAGTAAATTCTTCAGTTTTTGAAACAGCATCAATGTTGACCCAATGGTGGGAATGCAGAAGAAAGACCAGCCAGTGAAGACTTTTTTTAGCCAAATTTTTTTTTTTTACAGGGAAAGGGAAAAAATTGAATATCAATAACATATACATTTACGTTAACTCATTCACACACGTGCTTGATAAAAATCTCAAAAGAAGCACTTACGCTTACTTTCTGTTGGAAACTGTGAATAAATGTGTGGATAGCAAATTCTTGGGAGTTTTTTGTATTCTCCATACTAGTTAGTTTTGGCAGAAAGTGTGCAGCAACTTTGTGTGGGTCTTGCCCATACTACTTCATAACTGGTGTCCCTGGTCCTCCGGTCTGAACAAACTTGACCTGACCACTTCCACAACCATCATCCATTCAACTCTGGTGCCCACTTAGTGACCTAGCTGAGGGCACCCACCTCTAAAATTTGGAGTTACTCAACCGTTAGCTTACAATTGTTTGTAGCCACTCATTCTAGGCTCAACAATTAAATGGTTTCCTCCCAAGTTACGCCTTGATTATCACTTCAGGTTTTTTATTATTATTTATTTTCAGAGTTATTGGGCATACAATTTTGCAAAAAAATCCCAACTCTGCGACAGAGGGGTTAAACATTAAATTCAGGAAAAAATTGTCACCTAGTGAGGAAATTTTTAAAAATATGTTTGCCCCCAATTTCGTACAGGAAAAAGAGGAATTAAAATTTCTCCCAAATTAGGCCTTGATTCTCAGTTAGGGTTTTTTTTTAAATGCTGAATTGTTTATTTCAGAGCTTATGGGCAAAAAAACAGCAAAACTATCGAAAAGGTGACACAGAAGGGTTAAAGACCGAATATTTGTCCGTCTCAAACAGAAAAATGGACATGCAGGAGAAACACACGGCTTTCTTATATTGCAAAACCCCACCTCGGTCTTCTACAGAATGAGGCACAACAGTACATTCCTATACAGTCCCCTTTTTACGAATTCATGAAACGGAACACACCGGGGCTCTGCAGTAGCAAAGTGTTCCCACTAAGAATAACCCCACCCTGGAAAAGGCAAGGACAGTTCTGCTCATACCCCCCCTGACAAGTTCTTCCTCTTATTTCAACCCCCACAAATAAGGGAATGCATGGGATACGGGAAACTAGTAAAAACTTCTCTCTTATTCCCATTGCTGCGTCTAGAAAATTCGTTCCAGGAAAACCGAATTTTCAGCGGAAATTGCGACCTGATTCAACCCGAAAACTCGCTCTGAATTCCTCTTCGAATGAGATACCCCCAGAGAGTGGGTGCTCCACTTTGATGAATAAAAAACTCGGGGGGTACAAATAATTCTATCCCGTCCTTTCATACTGCACTACAACATTCAAACACCGAGCCAGCATTTGACAAGGTGGAATGCAGTATTTATTTCGCTTTTTTTTTGAATATTTTGTTATGCAGTACAGTATTTATAAACGTGAAAAACGGCAGCATTTTACTTACTATTCAAATTAAATGAGTCACGTCGCATAAGAAATTCCGTTTAAAGTTCAAAATTCTTCCTGGGAGACACAAAGTGAACATTAAAAAAAAGGAGGGCGAGTTTTGATCTTTGAAGTTGCATAAAACCCGACTTTTGGTCAGCTAAAATTCAGGAAGTCAAAAAATCATGGACTTCTTCAAAATGTTCTCAGACGAATATTTTTTCGAAAATTTATTAAATTATTTCTAGAAGCTAGTTTACCAAATAAATCAATATGAAACCCGTGCAT